GCTTGGGAAAAAAAAAAAAAAAAAAAAAAAAAAAAGAAAACAAGAAAAGAAACCCTAAAAGCTTCTTTATGCTTTTCTGCTTACACCACATCCCAGCCAGCCCTGCCCCCTGGTGGGCTGAGCTGGCCACAAAAAAAAAATAAAAAATAAATAAATAAATAAATAAAGATTTAACTTTAAAAAAAAAAAGAAAAAATGATAGAAAAGGGGCTAAGGGAATAGCTCAGCAGCATGGCATTTGCCTGCCAGGTGCGAGGTCTTGAGTTTGATTCCCTGTTGGGAAAAAAAAAAAAAAGATAGGAAGGGGGTCAGGGAGATGGCTCAGTAGAATAAGTGCTTGCCTGGCAAGCGCAAGGGCCTGAGTTCAATCCCCAGCTCCGCAAAAAAAAAAAAAGATAGGAAGTAGGAAGAAAGAGCTTTCTCAAATGAAGAAATCCAGAGATGGAGAGAGAAGAGAATTTAAAAAGGGAATTAAGATACATCGTGTACATGTATTAACTCCTTACAAGGAATGTAAACATTACGTACTACAAACACAATTTTGGTAGCAGTGAAAATTTAGATAATGCTACCCGCAAAGTGCTTAGCCAGGAACCAATCTATAGCACATGCTCAAAAGGTTAGTGTAAGTTCAGAAACTTAACCAACTCAGCAATTCTCCATCCGGGGTGTAAAGGACCTGTCCTTACCTCTCTAGGATGTTGTTCATTGCATCAACCTGAGAAATTTAGAAGTTTAAGGACTCAGCAGGGGCCCAGAGTCCTCACTTTGTAAATATCCTCAGCCTATGCAAAAGGAGGACAGGAAGCCAGGTTTGGTGGTACACCCCTGTAATCCAGCACTCAGGAGGCTGATGCAGGAGGATCTTTTCCAGTTCTTGACCAGTATGGGCTACAAAGCGAGCTCAAAGCCAGCCTGAACTGTATAGCGAGACCCTGTCTCAAAAAGACACACAAAAAGAGAGGAGGGCAGGGAGATGGTGTGAGTGCGAAAGCCACCTGAGCTTGGGGAGCCTGTTTACAGTAGAAGGGAAGAAAAGAGGTTTGTTCTCCCTGCTTTTGCTGTCTTCTGCTGCCCTGAAGTGTTTCCCCGGTACTATGCCACCCTGCTGATTGTGGACTGAAACCTCCACAAACTCCCCAGCTGTGAGCTGGGTGTCGGGTATTTTGTCTCAGCAATGAGAGAAAAGTAACTAGACAGCTGTTACTGTGATCTCAGACAGCTCAAGCTTGTGGGTTTTAGTCGCCTTGTCCAGTAGCACACATGAAAGCCTGACCTGCTACGGAAAATGATTCCGAGTAATGTGGTGCTATACTGATGAGTTTCCTCTTGATAAAGAAGCTTAAACATACGGCAATTTTAAAAGTGAAAACATTTTTCCTGGTGCTGGCGCTGAACCCAGGATTTCAGGCATGCTAAGCAGGTGCTTTATCACTAAGCTCAAGCCCCAGCCCCTATAATAGCTAAAAGTATGCTCTGAAGCTCACCATAAAGAGAAATTAAAGAGCAAAAGACATCCCCAGAGGGTGGGCCAGGGAGATAACTCA